GCCAAAGCTGCTCAAATCTTTAAAAGACAAAACCAAAAAAACTCTATGGTCACTAAGCCAGTTTGTGGTGGCATATATACTGTAATCTCAGGACTCGGGAGGTAGAGGCAGAAGGATCAGGAATTCAAGGCTAACCTTGGTAATAAGACCCTGTCTCAAAAACCTAAAAGCAGCTGGGCAGTGGTGGCACACACCTTTAATCCCAACACTCCGGAGGCAGAGGCAGGCGGATCTCTGTGAGTTCAAGGCCAGCCTGGTCTACAAAGTAAGTTCCAGGATAACCAGGGCTACACAGAGAAACCCTGTCTTGAAAAACCAAAAAAACAAAAACAAAACAAAAAACCCTAAAATCAAAGAACTTACACATAGTTCTGCATTCTAGATTTTGGGATTATGCTTTTTGATTTTTCTTTTTTTCCTTGAGACAGGGTCTCTTTGTAGCCCTGGCTAGCCTGGAACTCACTAAGTAGTCCAAGATGGTCTTAAATTTGAGATTCTCCTGTCTCAGTCTCTTGAGTGCTTGGATTGCAGACATGTGCCAGAATATCCAGCTGGATTATTTGTTTGATTTTGAGTAAACAGCGTATCTAGGACAACTTCAATATTTATATACTGGCTGTACTGAGCCCCTGGCACAGAGGCCGGAGAGCCCCAACATGTGACCCACTGGGGAACCAAGGGTGCAGTGTGGGAGAGAGAGAGAAGTTCCATATGTGGTCAAGGGGTCCCAGGACAGTGGCTACCTAGATGATGGAGACCCTGGGACTGTGATGGGTGGCAGAGTCACAGAATTAGAGGTCATCTTTCTTCTTGTAAAAATCAACAGCTTCTGGTCCATCAGAAGATCCCAGTGTCAATTTCCTGAAGAATGTGGGGGAGAGTGTGGCAGCTGCCCTCAGCCCTCTAGGTGAGTGCGACACCCCAGTGGCTTGGTGACTCTGTGCAAATGGCCTTTGGCAGGTTTTCCTGGCATGCTGCAGAGGCCAGGGCAGATATGTGCTCTTGACACCAGTAAGGTTTTGTTGCGTAAAATTAACCTTTGCCAAGGACTGGAATGGGTGCCTCAAGGTTGAATTCTGACTAATTCTTGAGCTCTCCACACAAAGTAGAACGAGCCAGTGGGGAGGGTGGGATATTGGCGGATGGCCTAGCCTCTGGGTAACAACAGCTTGTGTTTTCTGAGCCAAGTGAGTTGTTTTAGACTTGAAAGCTGGCATTTGATTTTTCTTTTTCTTTTCTTTCTTTCTCTTTCCCTCCCTCCCTCCCTCCCTCCCTCCCTCTCTCCCTCTCTCCCTCTCTCTCCCTCTTCCTCCCCCTCTCCCTCCCTCTCTCTCTTTCTCCTTTTTAGGCAAGGTTTCACATTAGCCCAGGCTGGCCTTGAACTTGTAGAGTTCCTCCTGCCTTGGCCTGCCAAGTGCTGGAATTTCTTTTCCTTCTCATCTGAGAACCCCAAATCTTTTTGAGAGCAGGGAGAAGGTGCTAGAGGCAAGTGCTCTGGGTCATGCCTGGCTCTGCAGAGGACAGAGGAGGTCTGCTGAGGTCGGGGAGCACAGTGTCACCTCTCAGTACTGTGGCCCTAGGTACTGTCTCTGGGGCACACCGGTGTGGTGTGGGAAGTGCTTGCCCACACACACCCTGTTCCTGTGTCTGCAGTGTTAGGAGGTGACCACGGGAGCCTGTGCAGAGGCCGTGTCCGGTACTGAAGGACCCTGATGAGAGGGGAGTCCCAACCCAGCCCCTCCTCCTCATAGCTCCTAGGACTGGAGAGATGCTCCAGTGGTTTAAGGGCATGTGAAGACCTAGTCACTTTAAAGTCAGCCCTTCACTAGACAGATGAGAGTGTGGCGGCTCGGCAGTCTCAATTCCTAGTCCATCCTTGGTCATGGGGATGCTCTTGACTTCTGTTGGAGGCTTCCCAGATCCTCTGGTTCTCTCTAGCTAACACCAGCCCATGCTGGTGGCGTATCAGGACCACTGGGGTCACCATTTGGGAGAGCAGGCATTATTTCACAGTGCTCAGAGGCCTTTTAGGAGGGCATAGGCCTTTGAAGTGTGTGGAGCTGCTGAGTAGTAGACTACCCAGAGCTCGACAAGACAGCAAGACAAGACAGCAAAGTTCCTAGAACGAAAGCCTCTGGGTAGTTTAAGCTGAGGATTGATTGGCTTCAACTCTTGTGGAAGTCATGGGAGTTTTCCTTGCCTTTCTCTCTAAGGAACTAAGCAGGGGTGACTCACATGCTAACTGCCTCTAATGGATTGTGTGAGAGCAGAGGCCCAGAGGGAACAAGTTGGCACAACCTCTCAGAAGGCAGAGGTTGGTGAGCCAGAGCCAAGTCCTTTTATTGGTAGGTTCTGTGAGAACCAGCCAAGGAAGGCCACTACTGTGGCCCAGGCTGTGTTTGGCTCAGAGGCTGTGGTCACTGACACCTGGGACACAAGGCCTTCCTTGTCACTGGGTCTTTGACAAACACAGGCTTTGGGGACAGCAGGTAACAGACCATAAAACATTCTTCCTCAGCCCTGCCGTCTTGGTCATTATTCCATTGAGAAACCCCCCATTCAGCATCCTCTGCTGCACCTGCTTAGAAAACCATGGGGTGTGGACATCGGGGATAGGGCTCAAGGGACTTTTTGGTTTTCTTGAACTTTCTGTGTGTGTGGTTCTGGAGATTGAACCCAGATCCTTTGTTCATGGTAGGTGTGCACTCTACTCTCATGGTAGGGGAGAACTGATTCCTGACAGTTTTTCTCAGACCTCAACACACACACATAAATGTGAAAAATAAAAAAGAAGAAACGGCGGGCAGGGAGTAACCCACAGAGAGAGAGGCAGCTGTACAGGGAACCCTTGTAAGAAGCAGGACGCTAGGCGGGCGGTGGTGGCGCACGCCTTTAATCCCAGCACTTGGGAGGCAGAGCCAGGCAGATCTCTGTGAGTTTGAGGCCAGCCTGGGCTACCAAGTGAGTTCCAGGAAAGGCTGTCTCGAAAAACCAAAAAAAAAAAAAAAAAAAAGAAGCAGGATGCTGCTGGGCATGATGGCACATGCCTTTAGTACCAGCATTAGGAAAATAGGCAGAGCTCTGCACTGAGGCCAGCCTGGTCTACATAGGAAATTCCAGGCTATCCAGGCTACACAGTGAGACCCTCTGTGAAAAAACAAAACAACCCTGGCAGGACCCTCTACCCTGGTACCATGAAGGATGAGAGGGAGTAACAGGACAAGGCACAAGGAAGCAGCTAGAAGACCTTTCATCAGAGTCTGCTAGAGAGCTCCAGGGCCCCACACAGCCATGTGATGGCCAGTACCAGCATTTCCATGTTCAGTACTTAAAGCCCTAACCCAGAGAAGCTTTCGCCACATAAGCTAAGGCACCAGCCTGGGAGTGGGCACCAGAGATGAGCAAGGGAGCAAGGGGCCCAGCATCTCAGCCCCACTGGCTGAGAGGAGGCCAGCCAAACACTCTGACAAAGAACACCAGCTCCTGGGACCTGGTTTCCCTGGTGCTATCTTCTGGACACCTGCACATGTGAAGCTGGCCACCGCCCTGGTGCCTCAGGCAGAGCTTCTTGCTAGTGCCCCTAGGATCAGAAGCCAGGGATGGCTGGCTATGGAGGAGAGCCGCTGCATGTGGGGTGTGCTGTCCTTTGGTACATTTAGATTGCAAGCAGCACTGGTGAACCGCCCGGTCCCTATCCCTCCAGCAAACATGAGCTGGCTAGTAGGCTGGCCAAGTGCTGCCCAGCCTCTTGGAGTTCAGATAGATGTATAGTTGTCACATGAGGCCCTGTGTGCCGTGGCGTCCAGCAATCGTTGCTAGGTGTTCTGCCCATGTATAGGACTGGCCCTACCTCTGCAGCCTGCTCCTACTGAGTTGGGAGAAACAAGGTTCTCCCTGGGGACTCTAGCTTAGAAGGAGGGAAAGGACCAGTGTGATGAGCTTGTTAACAGGGTTGGGGTTGGCATGAGGAGCTCAGCTGTTCATTTCTGGCCCATGGGGGTTGTCACATGGTCTGTCGTGTCACATGGTTATGTGGCTCTGGGGTTGAGTCCAGCCTCTGTCCTTATGCTAACTGCCAGTGTCCCAATCTGTATGTGCTGTTGAGGACCCAGTCTGAAAATGTCCTAAGCCACAGTGCCCAACTCACCGAGTCACTGATGTCACATGCAGGGGAGGCCTCTGGACTTGATGGCTTGATTCTTCTCTCTAGGCATAGAGGTTGACATTGACGTGGAACATGGAGGGAAGAGAAGCCGCCTGACACCTGCCTCCCCAGAAAGTTCTAGCATGGGCACAGAAGACAAGTGCAGCACTCAGCCAAGCAGCTGCTCTTCAGAGGTCAGCAAACCTGACGGGGCTGGCCCGAGCCCCTCACAGTCCCTGACAGAGCAAATGAAAAGGATCGCCTTGGAGTCAGGGGGACAGCCAGAGGTAGGTCTGCCTTCTCCTACGAGCTTTAACTGGCCTGCTTAGCATCGTGGCCTCAGCACCAGCCATCTTGCAGCCAGAGGGATCCTGTCCTTCCTGTTATCTCTGTGGCGTCTTCAGTCACTGAGTCTTCGGGCAGTCTCTGTAGAGAAGATCTCACTTGGATCTGGAGCTGTAACTCAGTATGGGGCATTTACCTGACATACATGAGGTCCTGGGTTCAACCAGTGGCATCATGGGAAAAAAACAGAGGGACATGTCCTTGCAGGCAGCTCTCTAGTGCCTGGGATTAGCTGCACTTTGCTGGGAGCAGATGGTGGGGTCCCACTGGTCAGTCACAGGCCTGTGCTCACAGCAGGTTCTATTCTAGGAACAGATGGAGTCTGATAACTGCTCAGGAGGAGATGATGACTGGACACATCTGTCCTCCAAAGAAGTGGACCCGTCCACAGGGGAGCTCCAGTCTCTACAGATGCCGGAGTCAGAAGGGCCAAGCTCTCTAGACCCCTCACAGGAAGGACCCACAGGGCTGAAGGAAGCTGCCCTGTACCCACATCTCCCACCAGGCATGTGGTCACCAGAGGTTTCATTTTTCCTTTGCTTTCAGAGTATCCTGTCGTACATCTGGTCTTGACAATACAAAAAGGTGTAGCATGGCCTGGGATTTTGTTTTAAAGGCAGTACCTACTTGTATAGTCCAGGGTGGCTTTGGGAGCCTAGGCTTGCCTGTGGCACACTGCCTGGTGGGGCCGTCAGCTGACGTCAGAGACATCTAGAGATGGTCTGACCTCTTCTGTCTGCATCTTAGGAATTTCTAAATCTCAATACCTAGGTGTTCTGAGAAGGCAGATGTGACAGGAAAGGGAACATTGGCTTTGGGCTGGCTTGCACCATAAGGTGAACTCAGACCCTTACACACCATTTCCTCAGGGGGTTGCAGATTTTAATGGCAGGCACCAAGGCCTCAGTAGAAGCCAGGCAGAGTGTGTGTAAAGTGCTGACGGGGTGGCTAGTCCCAAGGGTACACCCTGCAAGAGGCAGCCAGCTCCCATGTTCCAGGGTATCGGTGTTCAGATGGATAACTTATCTCCCGGCCAGTTTTGGCCTTGGGGCTTCAAAGCTTATTTTCTGTGTTAGAGCAGAGGGGCAGCAGACTGTTCATGAGTGAGAGTCTGGGGAGGGGCTTTATCATGGGTTCAAGGCTATCTGTCCTCCATGGCAGACTGCTTATCTCACCCTTGCAAGGCTCTGGCCTGGAGTCACAGACTGGGGCCGGGGAGCTGGAGAAGTGGCTCATCCGATCAAGTGCCTCCTGTGCCAGCACGGAGACACGAGTTGGTCCCCAGAACCCGTGGAGAGAGCCGGAAGCTGGGCAGGTGTGCACTGTAGGAGGCAGGCAGACCCCTTCACGGCTGGCTGGCTCCACAAGCTGGATTCATACGCTATGAGTTCACTGAGACCCAACTCAGTCAGGTGGACAGCAACAGAGGAGACTCCTACTTCAGCTCTGGGCCGCCACACCGTCTCACATACATGTGCACCCACAGGAACATAAGTACACACGATACAGATGCCAAATAAGAACAGAGGGTGGGGAGTCAGAGGCAGCTAGAGGAGACTGACATTTCATTATCTGTAACGGGTTTTTGCTTGGGTTGGTTTTGAGATGGTGGCTCATTCATTGTTGCGGCCTAGGATGTCCTTGAGTGATCTTCCTGCCTCCACCTCTTGAGTGTTGGAACTCTAGGCTTGAGCCACCACATCTGGCAATAAACCCCTATTGGAAAATAACTGCACTCATTTGTTTACACACCTTCTGGCTGTTTATGCTACAACAGCAGTTGAACAGTTGTGACAGAGACTGGAAGCCTACAAACAAGCTATTTGGCCCTTTAGCTAGCCTCTGAGGGCTCCCATAAGGCCTGAGCAGGGTTCTTTCTTCCTGGCAGGCAGGACTCGCTGTGTTGGGAGTGCTGCAGGGCGTCTCACTCTCCTGTCCTGTCTTGGCAGAGGCTGATCCCCGGCTGATTGAGTCGCTCTCCCAGATGCTGTCCATGGGCTTCTCTGATGAAGGCGGCTGGCTCACCAGGCTCCTCCAGACCAAGAATTATGACATCGGAGCTGCTCTGGACACAATTCAGTATTCAAAGCACCCTCCGCCGTTGTGATGGTGCTCGCACCCAAGCCCCGAGACCCACCCCCTTTGTCTTGTAGTTGCATCAAGTAGCGCAGCAGGGCCTCTAGAAGGCCAGTTTCTTTGCATTCTTCCAGAATCCGCAGGTGGGAGTATGTGAAGTCTTTAGGGCAGGAGGAGAGTGACGTGAGGGGAGAGTTCCAAGAGGGCACACGCTGAGCCTGAGAGCAGAACAGGTCCTTGTGGCTGAGCTTCCTCTGCCTGCCCTAGGCCTGGCCTTGCCCGGGAGCTGCAGTGCAGGCGGCACTGCCCTGCCGCCTGCACTGCCCCAGCAGTCCAGAGTTCTTGCCTGATGACCTCCTCCTTTCTGTGTTTCCTTGTCCAAAGTGATTCACACTGACAGCTATTCTCAACAAGTAAAGCCATGACATTAAGAGGGGGCGATCCACAGTAAGTCAAAGGTGGCGGGCAGCTGGGGCCTATGGCTCCAGGAGGGGGAGAACTCACGTGAAGCCAGCTGAAGGGTCACCATATACTGCCTCCCTTTTTAATGATCACACCTTGGTTTTTGTGTCCAATGTTCATGCTTTTAAATGAACCCCTGTGTAGCTTCCTCTGATTGGGTTTTTAAGTAACCTGTAATTAAATGGCATATGCACTTTAACCAACGCTGTGGTCCTTCTATTGTTGTTACAAGAGAAATGTGTTTGACAGGCAGGCATGTTTATTGTTGGGTTATCTGTTCTAAAGCACTCCCGTCTGTGGCATGGAGGACTGGCATACAGGGACCCATCACACCTGACTCAGTGAAGGCTACAGGTCATCTTCAAAGTCCTCCCCAGTTGTAAAGAGGTTGTGTAGCTGCATTGACGGGGCCTTCTCCGCCCCTTGAGCCAAGGGCCTACCCTCTGCCTGAGGAGACCCCGGGGCCCATGGTTGCTCTGGGGTGTCACTGCCAGGCCTCTCTGGCTGGGGTGTGGTGGAGTGGGTGGTGTGAGGAGACTGGACAGTGGCAGGTGCCCTGCTGAAGTGGCCTTCCCCTGGAGTCTTCCCCTGCAGAGGCCTTGATGGGTTCCCATCCACATGTGAGCTGTTGCCAGGCGACAGGAGAAACCGTGCCCATTGAGAAGATTGGGTCTTGACCTGAAGGACAGGACTTGGTAGTTTCCATCTTGGAAAACCGAGCTCCCTGATGTGGTTTGCAGTCCTGAGGGCAGGGCTGCTGCCTTGTTGCTCTGTCCCAAACAGGCCAGTGGAGTCCTGAAAAAAGAAACAGAGAAAGGGTTCTGTTCAGCTTGGGCAGGACCATCAGCATAACCCTGTGCTTTCTTCACAACTGCTGGCTGGCTAATCCCTGCAGGCTAGGAACATGCTGTTATTGTGAGGTTTAACAAGTGCAAGTTTATTACCCTGATCTGATCAATCCCATGACCGACCAACCACATCTTTCACATACAGGAGACATCCTGAGCGGCCCATCTCCTGGGAAGCTTTGGTCAGGTCAGCAGTCCCCATGAGGAGGTGTGAGCAGGGAGGGGCCTAGACACCCACCACCTAGAAAGATGCAATCTGTCATGCCTGCAGATTCCCAGCTGGGTCAGAACACCTCTTCAAAGCTGGACTGAGGTTCAGGAGCCCAGGTGGCTGCACCCAGGGCTTTGGGATGTGACAAGGTGTTGGGCCTGGCTTCTTCCAGCTCAGAAACCAAAGATACACAGGAAACTGGGTTTCACTGCTTACAAAGGAATTTGACAGCAGCACTGGATCTTTGCATCCTGACGGCTCAGATAATGCTGAGGAGACTGTGACCCTGACTGATGACCTTGGCTTTACCACTGCACTGGCTGTGAACTCACTGAGGTTTCAAAAGTCTTAGTTCCTCTACAACAACGTAGGTGGGTGAAACTGGACACTGACTGGTTAGTTTGGTCTAGGGTGTCTGTGGTAAAGGCTCTCTAACCCACCACTATGATTGCGCCAATGGGACTCACACCTACTGGGATCACTAGGTAGGTCAATAAACATCAAAAATGAACTCTGGGTTGGGTGGTGGCGGTGGCACACGCCTTTAATCCCAGCACTTGAAAGGCAGAGGCAGGTGGATCTCTGAGTTCAATGCCAGCCTGGTCTACAGAGCGAGTTCCAAGACAGCCAAGGCTGGTAACATGGAGAAACCTATCTTGGAAAAGAAAATTAAACTTTGTATCTTGGCTTTGTGCCATGCTCTGCGTGCAGCCTGAGGCTGAGCTGGGCAGGCCTTAGCTAACCGCTTAGGGGCAGAGGAAGAGAAAGAACAAGAGCCCTCATTCCAAGTCTTCTATAGCAGTGCAAAACAGAATCTGCACTCAGCCACGCTGCCCGTATAGCGGGCCTGGAGTCTATAAAGTGAGCAGTGCTTTGGCACAGGCGGTCCTGGACGGAAACCGAGGGCAACTTCTACTGTGACCGGCTACCAGAGTTCCTCCACTCTGCAGGATGAAAACGTCTTGCTGCAAACCTTACTGGCCAGCCTTAGGTGGGTCTCATGATGCTCCTGGCTGTGAGTTAACTTCAGGGGATGAAGACCATGATGATGTCTTGCTGTATGTCAGAATGGCCTTGAATTCATGCTCTTCCTGCCTCAGCCTCCTGGGTGCTGGGATTACGGGTGTATACCACCTGGCTCAGCAGTTGGCCTTTTTGGGGGGGAAAGACAGGGTCTACCATGGGCCCTGGAACTTGCTATGTAAACTAGGCTGGCTATGAACTCACAGACACCCATCTGTTTCTGTCTCCAGAGTGTTGAGATTAGAGGTATGTGCCACCATGCCCAGCCTCAGCTTTAAGCTGAAAAGACAATCCCATGCTGGAAGTTGGACTTTTTAATACATAAGGAAGTAGATATCATAACTGAAGAAATATATTATCCAAGCCTGTACCTGCAGTCTCCGCTGCTCACGAGGCATAGGGAAGAGTATGACCTCGGCTCAGAAGTTTGAGGCCAGTCTTGGCAATGTGGCAAGGCCATGTCTCCAAGAACAAAACCAAACAAATTCCATGAGGCTGGAGTGTAGCTTAGTAGCAATGTTCATGCCAGCACACATGCCCTGGCCTAAAGTCCTAACACTGCACATGTGTGTCCACATGTGTATACAGACATGCATACAATCATAGGCAGACTCCATGGTCACTGACCTGGCATTCAAAGTTGTCCCTAACACTGTCCAAGTCCTGGACATGCAGGCTGCGTGGAGGCTGCCCTGTGCTCTGATTCCATTTCCTGGAGGGAAGAAAGTACTATCATTAAGTTCTCTCATCCAACTGAGCAACTGAGGTCTGCTGGCCTGACAGGAATCTTTTCATCCTTCACAGGTTCCTACACCACATCCAGGAACAGCCCGTCCACGCCTCTTCTCTGGTCTATAGTTAGAATAGTCTTACTTGAAATTGTAATTTAGGCCCTTTGAGAGCCCTGCAGCATCCTAAGCCTAGGGAAGTTTCTCTGGAAACCCACTGACACATGGAGATCTGGAGAACCTCCTGTAAAAACCCCCAGGCCCACCGATTACTTGGGCCATGCTTCCACAGCTGGCCTTGAACTCACGGCGCTCCTGCATCAGCATCGCAGGACTGGAGTTACAGGCATCCAGGGGAGTCTAGCTAGCCTTCCGCTCTGTGTCAAGCAGCACGCAGTCTGAGGGTTAGCAGCGATGGCTGCAGCCCACTTTGCCTGCCCGCTGACCTACAACACAGGAGCTCCACTTAGTGACTTTTAGGAGCTGCTCACCGCCCCACCCCCACCCCAGCCCTCAGGAGCCAGTGCGGGCATGGGAATGGCTGGATGAGACCCGCTTAGCACCTCTTCCTGGGTCGGGCTGGACTGCGGGGCAGATCTGGCCACTCGGCACTGGTTGAGGGCTGTGTCTTAAGAGCTGCTCTTCCTCTGTCCGGCTCCGGATCCTCACAGCCCTTGTCCAGATACTTCAGCCAACGGGACTCCTGGGGCTCAGATGGTGCCTAAGCGTCAGAACAGAGGATAAGGCTCAGAGTCTGAGAGCAGCCCAAGTCCAACCCACAACCTTAGGTCAGAGCTCTTGGGACCATGTTTCGTTATCACCAGAAGGACTTCAAGTAGAGCACAATGGAGACACAGCTGCCCTGAGGCTCCAGAGCAGCGGTTCTCCACCTTCTACTGCTGTGGCGACCCCCAACCATAACACCATTTCCTTTCTCCTTCAAACTGCAATTTTGCTAGTTATGAATTGAAATGTAAATATCGGATACGCAACCCCAAAGGAGTCTAGACCCACAGGTTAAGAACTGCTGCTCTAGAAGGATGTACGTGTACACAGGCCCAGCAGGACACAACTTGTCACAAACTTTCCAATGTCAACACTCCCCAACCCAGGGACTTTCATGATGAGCAAAGGCTTGATGATGAGGGAGTTGCAAAGAGCCATGAGCAGAGCGGGGTCATAGCTGCAGGTGGGCAGCAAGAGTCTGCACACACCACACTGACAGTCAGTGCTCCCTCTGACCACAGCATCCTGGTTATAAAACACGGTGTCTGTCAAGAACCCAGTCACTCAGCACTCGGGAGGCAGAGCCAGGTGGATCTCTGTGAGTTCGAGGCCAGCCTGGACTACAGAGTGAGTTCCAGGAAAGGTGCAAAGCTACACAGAGAAACCCTGTCTCGAAAAACAAAAAGAAACAAACAAAAGAACCCAGTCACTGTCCCGGCACTGACTGAGCACCTATTTTAT